CGGTGGCTGCAGGGGTAGGGTCAGGCCGTCCCCCTCCATCTTACTCAAATACGAGTGGAGAAGACAAACCCCAGTGCTTCTGGGGAATGATGGCAGTGAGAAGAAGTGATACTGATGCTTCAAACACCCTCAGCGCTTGCTGGCTGCAGGCAGCTTTTGCTGAAGTACGGTGTTATCTCACCATTTGGGAAGCAAATGGGATGCTCTTGACTTACAAGGTCACTTTTCCTGTCCTTACCCCTCCGTTGCTTCTCCTGTGCCCTGCTCTTGCAACATTAATCCCAGAGGGCACCATGCTTTGGGGGTGAGGTTTCCAGACACGGGGACCGCTCTGCTCTTTGGCTCTGGTTTCTTCCCAGCTGGGTCTCTACGTGCAACGTGTGCTCTCGCTTTGTCTGTTGCAGATTGTAGACCTCTTACTCACACACGGCGCTGATGTGAACATGGCAGACAAGCAGGGGCGGACGCCGCTGATGATGGCTGCATCTGAGGGACATCTAGGCACCGTGGAGTTTCTGCTTGCACAAGGTCAGAGCGTGCTTGGGAGTGTGTTGGAGACCAGCCGTGGCGAGTCCCACCGCCCTGTCTCCTGCACAGCTGGAGTTTGTAACGTCAGGGTGGGGATTCTAATCCCACCGTGGGATCGGGCAGTGGGAGAGGTCCTCAGCACCATATCCAGCTTATCAGAGAAGACGACTAGAATAGTCACAGCATTAGTCTTTACTCTCCATTTTGTTGTCTGTGTTTGGTGCTCACAGCCTCCAAACCACAGCTTTGTGTTAGGAAATAAAACACATCCCCAGCTCTTTGAGCACGGAGTTCAGCAAACACCCTTGAGCCGTGCTTGGAGCTTTCCCCCTAGACCCAAATCAGCAAGCGATGCGACTGAACCGTGAACGTGACATTGGGACAGGCAGGTGAGACCCAACCACAGGACCAGAGTTTGGGACACTTTTTAACACTTCCATCTTTAGTGCTGGTATTTGTGCCCACATTCTTGACACCAGCAGGAGGGTAAGGCCCGGACACAGGCGAGGTTTTGATGTATTTGCTGAAAATCAGAATTGTTTTGAAGATAGGCTGCTCTTCAGCTTTGCACTCGCAGATTCACTTTGCTGGGTACTTTTGGTGTCTAATAACTCTCCTTCCCTCGGAGTCAGTCAACAGGAACGTGTTTCACTTTTACTCATCTCTGCTGCACACGGTCGAGGTGAGTCAGAGCACCACGCTGCCTGCGACCTGTGTGAGCACGATTGGTTCTTACTGCGGTACTTCCTTAGAGACCTCTTTTTTTTTATTTACAAATGGCCAGTGTTTGGGTTTTTTGGGTAATTTTCCATTTGTTTTTGGCTATAAATAGCATTTAATTCTTGTAGTGTTATTTGATATTTGTATTTCAGGTAAGATCCCTCTTTGGGAAGGGATATTTTCTTCATATCGTAAGTGACTGTATCTGACCTCTTAGCCGAAGTGTGAGACACTTGGATATTTTACGAAGTAGTAGTAACAACACTTTTTCACTGTGAAGTGCTTCCAGGAACAAGTTCTCTGTCTCATGGCCTGTCTGTCTGTCCTGAGCCACCGGCAGTGGGGTCGTTGCTGTTCAGTGCTGTAACCTGCATAGGGGTGTGACAAAGATCACTTTGAGGCAGGAATTTCTTAGGCATTAATTCAATTAATTCTTTTCTGATGTTCTGTTTTTTTAAAAATTTCCAATTAACCCTCTCCATATTTGAGTTGTAATGTGGCCCCTTTTGCAGCTTGACTGAATCTTTGTACAAGGCTTAAAATAAGTGATTTTTTTTTTTTGCTAGACTTGAGAACTGTGCATGTTGCATAAGGACTGGTTCAGTGGAGGAGGAAAATACCAGATAAGCTGATCTTGGCTGTGGGATCACCCACAAATGCATGTAGTGGTCCCCTGGCTCTTTGGACACTGAGAGTCCAAGAAGTCAATAATACAAAAATCTTTTTTACTTTAAAAAGTCCATTCTTCTAAAAAGCGTCATAAACTCCACTAAATATGCTGTAACACACGGTCCTGAAAAGTCAGCTCAAGCCTGGGCAGAGTACAGTGATATATGGTGTATTTTAATTAAAATGGCTTTGACAATCCTGTTCAATGTTTCATGAAAATCAAAGTGTGTGAATCATAAGCCATAAGCATTAATTAGTGTGTTGCAAAGCAAATCTCATTTGACTGTACTCGATTAACACAGTCAGCGTTTGTAAACACTTTTTATTAACAGAGTTGCAGTCATCAATCAATTTGAAATCCAAATTTTTAGAGTTACCTTCTGCTCTCGCCTGACACCCAGAAGTAATGGATGTGTGAGCAGTGGATTAAACTTTCCTGGTAGCAGCTCTGCTAAAGCTGATGTTTATACAGATCTGTGTTACGCAAAGCAAAATAATTCTTGATTATTTATTATACACTTGCTGGAGCGTGTCCAGAGAAGAGCAACGAAGCTGGTGAAGGGTCTGGAGCACAAGGCTTATGAGGAGCGGCTGAGGGAACTGGGGTGGTTTAGTCTGGAGAGGAGGAGGCTGAGGGGGGACTTTATCGCTCTCTACGGCTACCTGAAAGGCGGGTGTAGTGAGGGGGGGTCTGCTGAGTAACAAGCGATAGGACGAGAGGAAATGGCCTCAAGCTGTGTCAAGGGAGGTTTAGATTGGATATTAGGAAAAATTTCACTGCAAGAGTGGTCAGACATTGGACCAGGCTGCCCAAGGCAGTGGGGGAGTCCCCATCCCTGGAGGGGTTCAAAAGCCCTGTAGATGTGGCACTGCAGGACGTGGTTTAGCAGGCATGGGGGTGTTGGGTGGATGGTTGGTCTTGATGACCTTAGAGGTCTTTTCCAACCTTAATGATTCTGTGATTGATGCTCACTCCCCTTGGAGAGAGTTTGATTCTGAATCTCATTTTCCTGAAAAAAACCAATCCCTCGATGTTTTTGCTGCCTTGGGGTAGGTGGTAGGTGTGGCTGCTGCTCCTCGCGGTCTGCCTTGTGCCTCTGACAGACGACGCTGAGCCTCGGGCCCGCGGGGGTAACCCTGCCTGGGCACTGCACCTTTGGGTGCCTCCTCTGCTCAGAAAGGATCCGGCCATCCTGGCCGCTCCTTGCTTCTTTTTGGTGCTCCAGCAGTGTCAGTAGTTGATTTATTTTCCTCTAGCTGGCTCATTGCTGTGTGCCTGCTGGATAACACAGTAAGTTATAAACTCTTGCGTTTATCCAGTGAGTTTTTTAAGTGGCAGAGCAGCAGCCCAGCCTTTCTCAGAAGCAAGCTGGGTTTACCCAGACGTAAGCTTTCCCACTGCAGCAAGACGTGGTCCCATGAGGTCACCTTAAGCCACTTGCCCTCGAATCCACCCGCTCATTTCATGTCTGACTGCCTTAACACCAAGTAGGTCCGAGATCCCCGAAGGAGCCAAAGACGCCTTCAAAGTCGAGCAGAGGTTCTGCTGGGAGCCGCGGCTGCCTCGGGAGCTCGGTCGTGCCCAGCCTGCCTCGGAGCAGCGTTCGGGCATTTCTGAAGCGGTGCTCGTTGTCTGCTCCCTTAGACCTTCAGCTTGCGTTGCTGCAGCGATACCCTGAAGTCTGTGCATGTGACACGGGGGTATGGTGCATCTCTTCCACGGGACTGGGAAAGGAGTGGGAAGGTGGAGTGATGAGGTGGCTTTCCAGCCTTCCTTTTACTGCAGGAGCTTTCTCACCTGCTCCAGAAGAGTCGAAGGGAAAACACGAGAGGAGACTTCAGTGGTTTGATTGCAAGAAAGTCACTTGTAGAAATAAGAAGGAATGAAATGAGGCTTTATCTGGCTTTACTGAGCAAAAGTTGGTCTTAGGTCAGTTGAGGATCATCTGGAGGGCTTTCGCAGAGCTTCAGAAGGGTTCCTGGGTGCCGTGTGGGCAACGTGAGAGAAGGCTGGCGCGAGGTTGGGCGTCGATGTTGCCTTGCCAACAGCATCACGCCATGTGCCACCTCCCTGGCTGGCGCTCCCCGCTGCGGGTCGGAGGCAGGGTGCTGCGGCGATGCGGAGAGCTCTGGGCGGAGGTTTCTGAGCATAGCCCTGGCAAATGTTCACGTGTGGTGCTCCTCCGCAAACAAAAAGCTGTGCAAGCTGGAAGACCTATCAATTTGCTGTCATCTGGGCGGTGTGTGCTAACCGGGGGATACGTCAGCGGGATGAACGGGAAGGTTCAGGAAATTCACATTACTCCCCCACTGGCTGAGCTTTCTGGAGCCAGTGAAGATCTCACGCTGGGCAGTTTAGAGTTTACCTACAAGAGAAAAATACTGCAGCAGCCATTCATCCCAGCCTGCTGGCGGGAGCATCCCGCAGGTAGCCGCAGTTCCTCGGAGGAGCAGAGCTCATACAGATCTCCTCCGCACGCTGGAGAGCCGGAGCCCTGCCTGTGCCATGGCAACAGGAGTTGTCTTCATGCCACGAAGAGGAGTGTTCGCTTAATGCTGCTGTGCAGATCTCGTATGCGTATCCATATGCCGTATGAAGCAGTACTGACCCGTTGGTATGGCAGCACGGTGTCTTCATCCAAGAAAATGTCAAGTCCCTCTCTCCTCGGCTTGCAGTTGGCAGTAGTTTATCCCACAATGTTGTATTTATATTGGGTAAAGTTCAGGGAGAAATACTGCTGGAAATTGTGTCAATTTGGGTAGAGGGAGGGGAGTGAAGAGGGGAAAATATGTGCTTTTTTAGAAGAACTGAGCTGAATTGACTTAGTTCCCCTGGTATGCCATGACCTGCTGAAACAGCAAAATGGTCTTCATCTCTGACTCACGCAGGCTGGAATGGGGTTTGATTTTTTAAAAAAACAGTTAAAAAGAAAGATTGATGTCTCAGATGAGGGATGTCAAATACACCCTGCTGCTCAGATGATGTTTGCCAGAAAAGCCTACAGAGCTAGGTGCGAAAAAGTTTGCAGCTTGGTGTGAATAAACTCATTTGCCAGAGTTCCCATCAGTGCATTTGAAGTTGCCATGGAGGGTGGGATCCATGGGGGCAGAAATGTTAAGAAAGTAATTAATAATTATGTCCCTAGCTCTGAAAATAAGCTGTCATCGCTAAGTGGATGGTTTGTTGTGTTATAGTGCTCAACAACCGAGAGACCTTCAGTGAACAGCTGCTTGTTCTTCCAGGTGCCTCCATTGCTCTGATGGACAAGGAGGGCTTGACAGCCCTCAGCTGGGCTTGTCTGAAGGGCCATCTCTCCGTGGTGCGTTCCCTGGTGGAGAACGGAGCGGCCACCGACCACGCAGATAAAAACGGGCGCACTCCGCTGGACCTGGCAGCTTTTTACGGCGATGCAGAGGTGGTAAGTGGTCTCTAAGACATGCAGAAGAAAACCGGCAGTTGGTGTAAAAGCCTTAGAATAGTCCAGCTCAGCTTGAGGTAGCAAGAAGCGTATAGAGTCCTGGCCCTCCATACGTGCAGGCGCTTCCACAGAGGACAACGCGTGAGACTGATGTACCCTCAGACCCAGAGAGGTGGTTGTAGCCCAAGCAGTGGAGCAGAGCGAGGTTTTGCTGGGTGCACATCCCCAGCGGCGCGCGAAGGTCTCGCCCGGGAGCAGAAATGACAGTTGGGCTTCTCATTGCAGGTTCAGTTTCTGGTGGACCATGGGGCCATGATCGAGCACGTCGACTACAGCGGGATGCGTCCCCTCGACCGGGCAGTGGGGTGCCGCAACACCTCGGTCGTCGTCACTCTCCTGAAGAAAGGAGCAAAGATAGGTAGGGACCGAGGGACGATCCGCTGTCGGCTCTGTGCTTGGGCAGGACTCCGAGCAGAGGGGCTGGCTTCCTAGAAAACACAAGCATAACGCAGAGGTAGCCTCAGCCCCAGCCGCTGCTTCATGCTCCGACAGCAGCCGGCGAGTCAGGACTGCCTTGTTCTCTTGATTAAAATGGGGAATATTTTTTTTCCTGTCGTATTACTTAGCAAAGTTAAGCAATAAACAACTGTTCCTTTGGCAAGGTCTTTCCTCTGGTAATGCTTTTTCTATCTTTACTGGTCTGAGTCGACAAACGTACGATGTCCATGCATTGCTGTGAGCTGCTGCGTTCACTCGCTCTGTGTATGCTTTCAGATCTTAGTGTTACCCGCACTGCGCCGCACAGCTGCTCACGTTGCGTTTTCCTGTGAAAGGGGATTTTGCTGGTGCATCGGCTTTTTTGCTGCCTGCCTCTCACAGCTGCTTTTTTCCTTTTTTTTTTTTTTCCACCTTCATCCATTTTTTTTTTCCCCTCTCTCCTACAACTTTTTGTTTTCTCCTTTCTTTGAAGGTTGTCAGACGTTACCGAGTCGCCCACGAGGTATATCTCATTGCTGTCAGCATCAGCTTCGATCTGATAGCTTTGTCAGCCTTGCTTTCTCCTGTTTGATTTAGCCTGCATGCGTCCCCAACACCTCTAATCTTTTAATTTACCTCACCTTCAAATAATTTTTTTAATGACTGTTGCAGAGAATAACTTGAACTCAAAAACTAACTTCCTTCCCCCAAAACGTACTGAATCTACTTATAGAATATTGTTGACTTATTCCTCACCAACACTAATGAGTTGTCCCCAAATTTTTGCCGCCCCTTCCCTCCCAGTATCAGACCTTGAGCTATCGACGGGCTCTGCACGGGCAGAGCCCTGCGCAGAGCCAGCGTGTCCCCAGCCCAGCGGACGGCTTCGGACGGCTTCGGCGCCAGCAGCCCTTAGACACGGCCTTTCCGTTGTCGTATTTCCCACCTTAATGGATTTTCTGCTCTAGTATTTCACATCTTGTGAAGTCGGAAAACACAATCCACTTCAACACAAAACGCCTGTCGACAGGCGAACTGCAGATTTCCTAGCAGACTTCCAGAGATTTTGAGAAAGGCTTTTACGTAACCACTCGACTCTTTCCTGTTGAATCCGTGTGGTTTCCCCCGCCCCAGCTGGTTCCACAATCACCAGTGCCCTCTTGTGGAACCGGCTCCCGTCATTCCCCAGCCCGTCGTGGCGGCGGCGATCAGGCTTCGCCTTAACGACTGCGAAGGATAACCATTGCAGTGTGGATGACGGTAATTTAAGCGTGAGAGGAATTGTCAGCTCAGTCATTTGGAGCGCTCTGCCCTTTGACCATGCCAAGTTGTTCTCTCCAGCAGAAATTCCCACCCCAGGATATTTTTTCCACCCAGCTTCCTACCACCCTTGCATTGTATGAGTTCTTTACCCATCATGCATCCTGTACACTACAGGTCCAGCAACATGGGCGATGGCAACCTCCAAACCAGACATCATGATCATCCTGTTGAGCAAGCTGATGGAGGAGGGAGACATGTTTTATAAGGTGAGAAGGCTGGTTGTGGAAAAATTGAACAGATGCAGCTCGCAGCGCAACTTTGTATGAGGTTTTGACGGAGCAATGCTGCTGCCTTAATCCGTGGCAAGTGGAAGCTACTGCTCACAGCATTCCTGGTGTTGCAGACTGTTTGGTTTTGGTTAGTGGGGCTGGGGAGGGGGAATTGATTGCCCAAATCTGTAACGAAGCTGAAGCAAAGCCAAGTCTCTCCGCATTCTGGATTTGAGCCAGCACTTCATTTCCTCTTTGGAAACACCAGAACCCAAGTGTTTTACAGAGATTCGGAGTGCTGATGTCATCGCATCAGATCTGGCAACGTTGTCATTACCTAGCAGGCACTTACTGCTGTGGAGCAAGGCAACAAGATAGCATATCCCAGAAAAACTCATGGAAGAAACTTTATGCAGTGAAAACAGGCTGTCAGGACACAGATGGCTCTGTCGTGTCCTTTAGCCCGTGGGAGACGTTCCACCGTTACAGTCAGAGAGTCTTTTTTGCTCTGTGTTTATTTAAAGCCGATCTTTAAAACCTGGAGATTTGCACACACAGGCAAAATGTGCAAGTACAACAATGATTCACTGTTAGGCTCGAAGGGTGAAGCAGAAAATGCAAAGCTGGCATTGTAACTGGAGTTATCCGCCAGAGATACACGATACAGCAGAGAAACCTGAGTCTACAAGGTTTGAAAGCTTACTGTTAGTAGCTACAAAGTTTATGTCTGGGTCATCATGAATTCCATGTGTCCTAGATCCCATTTTGCCCTCTTTCCTTCATTGTAGGTGATATGGTTGGCCCCCTCCAGGGTGTAGATCATCCCATCCCAAAAAGAGGTGCCCAAAATAGCAAAGATGAGTCACCCTCTGAAGGTGACTGTTGTGTCCCAATAACTATAAAAGGAACCCAATTGACAGGCTTAGATGTAGACACCTAATTTTTAGACATCTAAAGTCCAGGGAGATGAATCCCAACCTGTTTGTCCAACTGCAGAGCCACATCGGTGCCATAGCATTTATCTTTTCTATTGCAGAGACTTCTCTGAGCCCTGGGGACCCCACCCAAAGTCCCACACTCTGTATTCTTTACCCTCCCTGGTGCTTATTAAGCTTTGGGTGTAGGGTGTTGTCCAGAAATGGGTTACTGATCACCCAGCTGAAAAGACCATCCATCCAGAAACCAGATGGAGTTGTATTGAGTTAACGTAACACAATTTCTGCTGTGTTTCCCACTGTAGCATGGCAACTCTGTAAGAAGTGAGAGAATTCAACTGGCACAAGGCATCTGCATTTCCAGATCAGATGTTCCCTTGTTCTGGCTTTCCTTTCTAGAAAAGGGCTAAACAGTGAAGTTATGTTACCTTCACCACCCAAAACGTTCATGGGGCTGGTGAGTGAGTTCTCTGCAGTGAAGTAAACTCAACCCAAGGATGCGTTTTGACATGTTCTCCTTCTATTAGAAAGGTAAAGTGAAAGAGGCTGCCCAGCGCTACCAGTATGCTCTGAAAAAATTCCCCAGGGAAGGGTTTGGAGAAGACCTGAAAACCTTCCGTGAGCTGAAGGTGTCGCTGCTTCTCAACCTCTCCCGATGTCGAAGGAAAATGAACGTAAGTCTCCCCACTCTTCGCGGCCTTAGGCACAAGCTGCCAGCTTTCTGCCTGTGCACAGAGACATGTCCATCCTGTAACCGTGCTCTGACCTCGGAGATCTCTCCTCTGGACCTTGTTGTCCTTCACAGAGCACTGACATTTTATAATTCAAAAGGAGTAATGATTTAATATGCATTTCTGGTGATTAAAAATTCATTGCTATGTTTAGGTTTTTGAATTTTTTATTACTCCCTTTTGATGATGATGTGAATTGGGGGTGGAGGCATTTTCCAGATTTCTAGGGCAGCGGTGAGGGAGGAGCCAGGAGATGAGCTCCTTTGAATACTAATTAATTTAAAATGAAGGAGCATATGCTTAGGGGGCTAGCACTTCCCCAGGGCAGTGACTCATCCAGAAACACCCCCTCATACTCCCTCTCCTCCCAGAACTGCCAGCTCACTCGCCCCGCTCCGATCCAGCAGCAGCCAGCGACCAGCCCCTGCCGCACGTCCGTTCTGCCAGCAGACGAGTGCCACTCCCCTTGCTCTGCCTGCGGAGCCTCTCACCCCTGCGCCTTCCAGTCTCCCTCCACTCAAAAAGTGAAATCTCCACTGAGGCCAGCAAAGATTGCGTTGGAGGGGAAGGGGGTTTTGTGACACCTTCATTTCTTTAAGCTGTGAGGGAGAAAGATGAAAAGCGATGGAAGTAAAATCTGAACGCTGGTGAACAAACAACACAGTTTGTAGAAAAAGTGTGAACCTGCTCTTTAAACAAGCCAACTCGCAGCTAAGCCTGGGCTTGAAGGACAACATTTTTAATTTATCGTTGACTGGAGAATCCCAGGTTTTGTGATAGAAATTTTCAGAGAGCTGCAGTTGCTTCTGCAGTTTTTACGCCTAGAGATGAGTCTGTAGAAGTACCTACCTGTTGACTCCATTCCCAGTTTAGTCTATTAGGCAGTATCTCTTCAGTAACTGCTACTGAAGGTACAAACGAAAGTGTGAGCTTCCCCAGGCAGGGCGTCCAGAGAGCAAGAGTTTGCTTACGGAGTTTTGGAACAAATCAGGAGTATTCCTGGGTCCTTTCTCCCAGAACTGCTCAGGGTCATAGCCCAAGTCAGCAATCCAAAGCAGTGTTTGGCTGTGAAATGAAAGCCCCTCCACTGGGAAGAGGTCTCCTTCACAAGCGTGGAGCTTCAGCTGACCTTAGTGGTGCATAAAGCATTGGGTCAAGGCAAGGGAGGACGGCCGGCAGGGTTTGAACCGTAGCGGATAGTCTGATCTCGTGGCACTCGCCACTCAAAAGCATCCAGAGCCGTCTCCATCCCATGCTGTCACCCACTCCCTCCCCACTCCCAAACTGGTCTCCCAGGTGAGGTGTAGGGGAGAGGCAAGGAACAGTGGGATGGGTGACACTGGTAGGACACCGTTGCCAGGCAGGTCCTGTCTGTAGCTACTGAGGTACCGTAGTCCCTTCCTTCATGTGCGGTTTTACTCAGCCCCTTCAAAGTATGTCAGTGTGGTGCGGAGTGGGAAGCAGAGGGCGTGGGAAAGGTTTCCTATTGCTTTCAACTATAGAAAAAAATCCTTCATGAGATTACATTCCAGGCTCTTACGAGACCAGATGTTTCCTCAAGACTGTAGGCTGTTGGAGAGGGACTGCATTCACTTGTTGGGGACACAATCAATGAGAACGGAGCCAGTGCACGCTGGCCTCTGTGGGTGCTGACAGCATCCGGCGTTACGAGAGGGATCGGAGTCTTTGGACATGCCATCGTAGCTCTCTGGCTGTAAATGGTGTTGAATCCTTGTGAAACATTCCAGTACCAGCAAGTTTTCCATGGTACCTGCAAAAAAATCGTCCACATTGTTTGTTTTCTTCCCAGACTGTATATATTTTTATTTCTATGTCTATTCAATTACTTATCTACACACCTATTGTAATGGCAGGATTTTGGAATGGCGGAGGAATTTGCTACTAAAGCGCTGGAGCTGAAACCGAAATCTTACGAAGCTTACTACGCAAGAGCAAGGGCCAAGCGCAGCAGCAGGTGAGGAGAGAGAGCAGAGTGCGAGGGGCTGGGCTCCTCAAGCCTGGCCACACCGATGTGGGCATCCGCCGGGCAAAACCGTACCAGTGTCCCCATGGGAAGAAATGGCAAAGGACCATCCGTTAATGAGATGACAAACCTCTCAAAGTAACACCCTCCCTCGTTTGGTAGTTTCTGGAGATAGCTGAATGCAAATGTTTTGAGAGGTTCATCTTAGCTGAACTTCGTCTGAACATCTTACTACACTGGAAACCTTTACACCAGAGTTGGGTATTCTTTTTAAAAATACACTTGAGGTCAACCACAACTTGGACTTGAAGCAGAATATGACTCATGGAAGCCCTGTGGCCTGTGTCACGCAAGAGGGCAGACTCATTCATCAAGGTGATCTCTTCTGGCCTTAAAATCTAGGAACCTCTCTGTCCTACAGCCCTTTTTGCAAGGCAGAGACTGCTGACGAGCTGTGCAGTGACCGTGCAGCCACGGCTTGTGCTCAGACCACTGCAACCAGCTCCTAGAGAGCTGCAGCACCGGGATCTCTGCATCTCAGGTGGAGCCCGGAGGATTCCCTCGTTAGCCTCCCCGGAGGCTAAAAGATGTGAGATTAGATTCATTTCAAAACCAATCAATGCCATTCCTAGATGAGGAAGAGGGCTTGCTTTTTGAGTCCTGTGCTCAAGGGCTGGGCGCGCTGTCATTGCGCGCATCTCGGTTTTAAATGGTGGCCAGAATGCCTGGTGCGGCCGTGCAGAGAACCCCCGGTAGCCGGAGGCAGGTTGGGGCCACCGGTGCGAACACCACAGCTCAGCAGACACCGCCACCGTTTGTCCTTCCGTGCGGGAGGGGATGTGTGGCACTGGGCTCCTGGCCCAGCTGGTGCTGCCGGGTCCACCAGGGCTCGATGTGGGCGGTGAAGCCGTGGCTTTCTGTTCTGCGGAGAGGTCCTGCTAGCTGAGCCACACTCACCTCATGCCTTCCCTTCGACGGTTTTCCTCTCCGTTGTTTCCAAAACACTCCTAAGGAAGCACAAGAACCGAGTTCCTTCCCAGATGAGATCAGCCTCCCCACGTACAAACGTCCTTTTCTCCCCAGGTCTCTCCAGCAGAAATTGTCACCACTTTGACTTTTCTCTGTTTCCCAGTTCATGCCCAGCAGCAGCCCTGAGGTCAGCACAGCCCGGGGAGCAGGAGGCTTTTCCTTCCTCCTCCTGGTTTGCAGTGGCTCGTGCAAAAGCTTAGGCTGATGTTGGGAGCTGCCGGGGGGGTTTAAGGTCCTGTGCAGCCTGCTCTGGGTGACCCTGCTTGGGCAGGGGACTGGACTGGGTGACCCACAGAGGTCCCTGCTAACCCCCGCCATGCCGGGGTTCTGTGATTCTGTGGTTTCGCTGTGATCGTCCCCCCGGATGACAAGCGTCTTCAAACAGCTGGTTTTGCTCAAAAGCGAACAGTGTCGATGAGAACCCCCTCCCCGAACCCCCACCTCCCTTTCGCTCCTCACAGGCCGGCCTTTCCCTCGCAAAGGCTTCCCGGGGCAGGGGGTCCCTGGTGCTGCTCCCTTCCTTCACTGTGGAGCAGTTCGCCAAACCCACTGCAAAAGGGGAGAGACGAGCCTTGCCCGCAGCGCTGACCCGCGGGCACCCCGCGCCCCGCGGCCAGCCCTGACGCCGGGGGCTC